ATAGTATAGTAGTATAGTATAATATCTTCGGCATTGAAGAATAGGCCTGGATAGGCCTATCGCCGATGCTTGTTCATTTCTTGACTAGACTGGCCTTTTGATCAAATATTTTCAACGGACATCAGGTTTAAAATCGCTTCTAGATTTCAGTTGTTCCGTAGGGTACGAGGCATTTCAAGACTTAACATTTGGTCCTGCATGCCCTTGTCTAGTCTGTTCTTGAACGCGTTCATACTCGGAGCGTCAACAATATCTTCAGGGAGGCTGTTCTACATGTCGGTGACTCGAAGCGATAAGAAATGTTGTCGCATGGAAGAGTTGCACCGCAGTTTTTTAATTTTTAGCTGTGGCCCCTAGTGTTGGTTCTTGTTTAAAAGTGTTGGTTCTTGCCATTTTCAAGTATCGGTGACCACACAACGTTTCCAAACTCAAGGTTCGGGCGCACGACAGAGGTGAACAACAGCTTCATTTCTATATCTAGGTACTCGTAGGAGCGTCTGAGCAGTTTATTGGATTTATTAACTTGCGTTTCAATATGCCTAGAAAATTTTAGCTCCTTGTCGACACAAACTCCAAGATCTTTTTCCACGCAAGACTTTTCAATCATAACCCTCTCGTTGGCCGTTGCAACCATGTCTTCTCATGCTGTAAGCTTGCTGTTCATTGTTCTTGCCGAGATGAAGTACTTCACACTTGTCAGCATTGAAATGCAGCTGCCACGCATCAGCCCAGTCAACTAAACTATCAAGAACATTTTGCAGTTGCATTTTATTTGACGCATCCTTAACTGTATTATAAACTTTTGTGTCATCGGCATACATGGAGCACACGCTTGACACTACTTCTGGTAGATCGTTTATAAAAACGACAAAGAAAACAGACCCAAGAACGCTTCCTTGCGATACGCCACTTCGCACAGTTACCCAGTCTGATACGGTTCCGTAATGCTGACACGATGTCTTCTGCCTACTAGGAAATTCCTGATCCATTGGAGTACATTTCTCTCTATTCCCAAAGAATTCACTTACGTACGTAATACGTAACAGTCGCTCATGCGGAACACTATCAAATGCCTTGGCAAAATCGAGGTACAGTGCATCAAATTAAACCGGAATAATGTTAGGTGAATGCAATAAATTTAAAAAAAGTAAAGCGGCCCTAGCTGCTGCCCGATAGAAGTCATCTGAATCGGGAGCAGGAGCTTTACCAGGCAAGCGCAAGCTAGCCTGGTAGAACAGAGAAACTGAAGAAGCTTTCACACAGGGCGACAAATACCGCGCGCGTCAAAAATGCCGCGGCAGTATTTACCGCGAAGTCTTTTACACGAGGCGGTTGTTAACACTGGAATCTATCAGCCTTGCAGCGCTGTTTTCCGCAAGTGGTCCTGACTGTGTCTATTAATGGCTGCTTTAAGAGTAAATAGAATATGCGTTTAAAAATTTCTTCTTATTAACAACACTTCTAAAGAATACAGTGTCTCTGATGTTACACATGTACAATGAATTTTTAATTATATTTTCATATATCATATATAAAAAAAATAGTTTTCACATTTTTTTAATATCTAAAAATGATGTAAATTTTCAAAATTATTTATTCAGTTAACTGATTCATACATTGTGTCTGACTTTACGCAAGTGTGCAAAATTTCAGATCGATTGGACAGGTAGAAGTGTGTTAAATATCGATTATAAGATTTGTAGCAGACGGACAAATAACAAGAAGTGAAGTTAAAGAGAAGTGTTGTAAGAAAAGAAGACTCTCCTTTTATACTCTCTGTATAAAAGACAGCAAAGGAAGAAAATAAGGCGGTGCTGGATTTGCAATATAATAAATTTAAGGCCGCAAGAAGGAGAATTTGCCACACTGTTTGGAAGGCAACGTTCACAAAATTGTCATTACAAAATTAATTCATTACTCATTACATGCATTACAGCATTAACAAGAAGAAATGAGTTTAATTATCCCTACCTCTTTCAGTTGCTGGAGCTGCATACACCCTCGCCGCCCGGACCACAATAGGTAGAGGCGTCTGCGTGAAAAACCGCCCAGTGTGAAAGACTACATTGAATACCTTTACAAGCTAAACTGTCGCGGCAAATCTACCGCCGCAGTTTTAGCAGGACACACGCGGGCGTCAGGCGTTAAATTCTACGCTGCGTTAAAAGCAGTCGTGTGTGAATAGCAGTGTACATTCTGTATGTCCGCCAAGGTTCGGCGGTAAATACCGTCGGGCGCTGGCGGTATTTACCGCCCTGTGTGAAAGGGGCCTAACTTGCAATAAAGTTCCGTGCTGCCCATCCTGTCAAATTAATGACAACTGATTTCAACGAAACAATGCAAATTTAAATGATAGAAAATTATAACAAGCTGCATATTAATGACCATGATATCGTCAAACACTTAAATTTACGGACCTAGCAGCTGCGCTCTTAAAAATGTATAGTCATCGTAAAATAAGAGGCTATAATAAATTGGTTAACTAATGAATATATATTCAGTTGGAAGACAGGGAGGGTTTTATTTTTTGGGTTGAGAGTAAAGAAGTGAAGGCATTTATCCATAATTGAAACTGGCCGGAGCTACAAATTGCCACAATACTCTAAGCTTCAGTCTCCAGCGACGGACAACCAACCTGCAGCATCCGGTCCTCTCATGAGCCCCCGGGAGAGACCCTTCCTCCGTGAGAAGACGAGCTATTTAATAATAGAATTAGAATTTAACATTCGAATTTAATACTATCGAATTTGAATTTAATACTTAAATTCGCATTCAATATTCGAATTTAATAGTCTAATTAGAATTTATGATTCGAATTCAATATTCGAATTCTATATTCGAATTCGAATTTGATACCCATAGCGCAGTTGTAGCGGAGAAAGTGATGTCCTACCTATAAAAGTGAAGATATGGCATCGTTGGCCGTCATAAGGAATCTGAACCGTACTAGAGGCTGGAGGTAGCTTCAACCTTCAAATTTGGATATGAATAAATGACGAAGGTTGCCCACGCAGAACTACAATAAATGTTCTGAATTGTAGCCGGCCAAATTAAATAAGGAATAACCGAATAACCCAAACCCAAATGATGATCTTCAAACGGAAATTGTGAAAGTTAAGAATTTTACTCACTTTTTTCAAAAACTTTCTTTGCTTTTGGGAGACACAAAATACTTCATTATTCTGCTAAGTTGAACTACAAACTCGGAATTTTAAAGCTGCAGTTTTGAGTGCAAAATGTTCATATACGGAAATAGCTTGCTGCCCAATATGTTATGGTAATTAAGTTTACAAACATGGATATCAAGTCTAGGTAATACCAAACATATAAATAGAAATATATACAATATATAATAATTATATATTGTATATATAATTTATATATATATATATAATTATTACATATATAATTTATAAATAGAAATAATAAAGATCGTAAAATTTCCGCTCAGATTTTTTATATGAAAATATGATAGGGGAATAGATCGTGGAAAGATTGCTTGAGTAAAAAACATTTATTTTTTAATTGCCATCAGTTACTTAAATACGTTTACCGAGTCTAAGTACCATATATATGTACGTCTAATTGAATGATGCTTTATTTTATTATTATTTATTAACAAAAATATGGCAAAAAAAAATTTATATGGCAAGTTCAATAATTTACTCATTACAATGGATATTTCTGTAATCGAAGACGTTATGAATTAGTAGCAAAATGTTTCACTATCTGAGATTATCAGAGTATCAAACATTTTTGTAATAAATTCGAGTAGTACCACTTGAAATTATTTGATGAAAGCATAGAGTTATTATGTTAACGAAGTCTATAGCTAATCAAACTGAGTCCGGTTGATCAGGTTAGTTAATATTTACAATCTCCAATAAATGATTGCCGTGCTGAATTTAAAGCACTGAATTTGCTTCTGAAATGACAGTTGACACAGAATAAGTAAAGACTTATTATTCCAGCCTAGCTGTGTAATCACCATCCACACTCGGAATGATTACAAAAAATCTCCGATTGTTTCCAAGAGGTTATGGCTTACGGTCGCTTGTAGAAACATTTCTGCAATATAATTTCGGTAAGTCTTTTACATAGCTAATTGATGCGTGACCTGCAAAGATCAATGTATATAGAGCTCGGATGAAGTTTCGTCAGAGACAGGAAAGAAGCTCCTTCTCAAGCATATGAGGTGAATTTGACCAGAGCATTGATTTGCCGTGCTGAGTCAGTTAATTATTAGAACTGTGGCGTTAATGGGCTTATTTTAAGGAGCCCCATAAAATATTTTTGTGTAATCATGAATAATTTGAGGTTTATCTATCAAAATAGTTGTTAGTTTTACAAAAAAAAAAATGACCACAATTTTAATATAATAAGGCGTGAACATGTTAATGCAGCAAACATGCAGTACTTACTGCGTTTGTTGTACTGTAGATGTTTGCTGTTCGTACTCCTGTCTTCAAAACCTTGTGACGATCATGACGAATTATATTTAAATACATATGAGTATCATGATATATGAGTGGTGAATATTACGATACATGTTCACTCAAACCATTCCGTTTGTTCTAATTTTACATCCGGTCATCATATGAATTGATCATGCATTTATAACTAAAATTGCATATGAAATTATAAACAATTTTTTATAATACTATGAACTAAATCACAGATTTTTTTTTTATTTCAGCCTGTAGAAAAACTAAGAAATGTGTCATCGATGTCAACAAGCATGATCCCGTTAGAAAATTTTGAGTCATACGCAATATGATAATAAAAGGAGAATTCTATATTTAAGCATGCATATTATAATTAAATCAAAATGTTTGATTGTATAAGGCGTTTTAAAAAAAGTTTTAAGAATTTTAAGGTTGATTTGCAAAATAATGACTATAAAATATTTGCATCAAAGTACCGCAAATTCTCGCGATGCCTCGCCAGTTCTCGCACAGGTCACGTGACCAGAGACGTTTATTTTGGCTCACCATAATGGCGCCAAGCCGTATATGTATATTTATATATAATTTTATCGAATTTGGTGGAGTTAATATCACTGTTGAGGGACGTGTAAACGTATAAAGATATGTTGTGTATGTTATTGTATATGAAAAACGTTGATCAGGTACGTGGTTGTACCATATCTGAAGATGCAAGTGGTGTCAGTTTGTAAATAATTTACCAATAAACCCATACAATCAGCTTTCTTTTCGTGTTTACGTTGTGTTAGCGGTTAAAAATTCTGAAATTTGTTAACCTTCGGTAAGATACGTGATATGGCTGCCAGTAATAACTGAAATATCGTTCATTTATTACTTAAATTTGTGAAAATCAACGACGGAAAACCAGTTTTAAGAATCGAGTTGTGATTGTGCTGCCATCTATATTAACTTGAAAGCATCTTATTATTAAAAAATCTCCATAATAAGGGGCTTTTTACTATATTTTACACTACTTTTATAGTCCATATAGTATTTTTCAACAATCTCTCCTTATTTCAATCTTTCATAGGTCAATATATTTTCATTAAGTGTGATTGAAGTCTGGCAGAGAGATGGTGAAGGGTTTGTTTATGATAGGATTTCATTGTTTTGACTGAGTTTTATCAGAGTTATTTGGCTTTTAAGTCTGTTTTTGTGTACTTTTATTACTTGATACTCTGATCTATTTATTATTTAATTATATTTAATATTGCTTTTAATAAATTTTGAGGTTAGATATCTTCCAATTTTGGATAATTAATTCCAAGGTGCAGAAAGTGAGTGAATAGGCCTATCTGTTTTTTTGGCATAATACATAAGCCTCAAAATCGGTGTTTTAAAAAAATCTTGCCTAGGCCTACTCTTTTATTTTTTTACTTATTTAAATCTCTCAATTCAGTTGACTGCTGCATAGAAATCTTGAAGGTTTAGATACATTTTGATGCAAATTGTCATGAACCCATTAATGCCAATAATTATTTTCTACTCTCTTTTCTGGTTTCCTGTGAGATAATAATATTATCACTTGTGACAGTAATAAATAAAAAATATGTTCAAATATTTATTTTTAGTTTTATGTGAAAATTTATAGCTTGGTTCCATTTGGAACTGGGCCGAAGCCGAATATTTCATAATCTAAATGACTTAGAAACATTATAGTCAAATGGGGTAAGACAGGATTGCAGCCTTCATGGGGTAAGAAAGGACCGGCCCATGGCATTCATTCTAATTGCACTGAATTTAATTTGACAAAAGAATATGTTCGAGCAATCATTGCCGGTCATTTCAGTGCATGTTTCAACCCTCTTCTTGCAAATAATGAATTTCTGGCTAATTTTCAAAGAAAAACTATGTAAAGAAGGGCCACAAAATAGTTAACCCTGTTTGGGAAATAAGCTCTGTCGAATGACAAAAAATTTGTTGGCCAGGTTTGTGGATGTAGGCAGGTAACCTTAAGTAATAAGCAACTTTTGAGACATACTAGGCATTCCTACCTGCTACCATCACTGCCTGACAACTATTCTAAAATGGGTTAAAAAAGGACTGGACATGGGGTAAGACGGGACCACTAAATGATCCTGTTTTACCCACAAGTGGTCCTATCTTACCCCATAAACGGTCCTGTCTTACCCCACAAATGGTCCTCTTTTACCCCATAGTTTATCAAAAGAAGCTTTTAAATGAATATATTATTGTGCATAAGTATACATGGAGTATTTTGGTCAAAATTTTCATCTTTTGCTTAAAATAACATTCTAACTTGTTAGCTTTTTTAATTAGATAAATTTAGCATACTATTGTGAATTGCATCGTGGGGATGGATAAAATAGGGATGTCACTTCCCATTAGTGAGCTGCAGAACAATGTGCAAGAGTGGTTGGGGGAAAAATCATTGTGTGAAACATAAGAAATAATTATTATCACAATTTTGTGAGAGGGCATGGGCTATGTTTGAAGAAGTGCACCACAAATGCAGTTAGCAAGAAAACACATGACGTCCGACTCTTGAGTTATTATCCACTGGTTTTATTACCAATTTCATAAGTTTTCAGACAATGACCAATGGAATATACATGTATCATTTGGCAGTGCTCTACAATGAATCAAAGCCAACCTACTATTTCTATGCTTAACAGATGGATAATATTGAATATCAGATTTATATTTTTACTAAAAACCTTGTAACATAAGAATTACCTGTTGGTCCTTTCTTACCCCAGCCTGGTCCCATCTTACCCCAATGGGGTAAGATGGGACCAGCTCACTTTTTTTAATCTGTACAGAAAAATGTGTTGTATGCAAAAAGTCTGAGTTGTAGCTTTGAAGCCATTGCATAACCACACCTTGTGATAAGTTTAGGATTTTTTAGTTATTCATGGTATAGATGCTACATGCCTGTTAGTGATTTTGGTCCTGTCTTACCCCATCTGACTATATATACTGTAAAATGGGGTAACTTTGACCACTTTTTTTTCAAAATGATGCAATTTTTTTACTAGATAAGTTAAACTTAAATTGAAACATTCAAAATACAGGTCTATACTCTAGCTTTACTTACCATAAATTGCTGGCTCCTGCCTTTCATAGTTTTGATGTAATTTAAAAAAAAGAGATGGTCTTTCTTACCCCAGCTCAGGATGGAATTCTAATTTCGGAGGTTCATATATTATTTCGATCCACCAAGACCACTTCTTCTATCCAACATCATTACTTGAGGCAAAAAATGAACTTCTTAAAGGCTTAAAACACGCATGCTAACTTGCTCAGTTTCTATAAAGTACCTAATCACTTGGAAGTTGTAAACCTGCACCTATCACTCAACAATTAAAATTAGACTTATAAAAAAAGTATTAGTTAGTTGAAAATTTGTCTCTTAAGTTGACTGCAATGAACTAAACTTCATCAAGTAATCATTAGGCAGAGTTTTTAATCATGCACACTAAACACGCAATTCAGAGTTCAGACGAGACAAACTTCATAACACGTGAGCAAACGTGCTACTGAATTGAATTGCTTCTTTCCCGCTAACGGTGATCTAGCGGGATGATCAATCGTTACTTAATTTGTATACGGTTGTATATGAATTATGAATTAACTAATCGTTTGTATACTTAATGCAAGAGAATGAATAATTATGTTTCTGATCAAACAAACGAAAACTTTTTCTGTTTCTGATCAAATGAACGAAAACTTCTGATCAAACGAACAAAAACTTCTGATCAAACGAACGAAAACTTCTGATCAAACAAACGAAAACTTCTGATCAAACGACTGAAAACTTCTGATCAAACGAACAAAAACTTCTGATCAAACGAATGAAAACGACTTTGAATTCTAATACGGATCGTTAATTTTAACATCGTATTTCCAAAAATCAATTATTGCATTTCTTTTAATTGAAAAACATCCTTTTACATAAAAAACAACGAANAATGGTTTGGTTCGCCACGGAGGTCGTCACGATCTCAACCCATACAGAAAAGATTACATCAACGGCGCCGAACAAAGGAAGTCGCGGTCGAGTTCAGCTAACTCATCGGTTGAAACGGACTCTGATTCTCTGTCGTCTTCGCGGTGGATGCTTCCCAATTCTTCCCGCATTCCTGTTTTCACGAGCAGCGAGGATGATATGCCTATTAATAGTAGATTTATTAACCGTCACCAAACTCTCCCTAAGCCTAATGAAAAATCGAAAAAATCGGGCTCCAGGAAAATCTCTTCTAACGGAGGAAGAAAACCAAATAAAATCAGGCCGACCACCGCTGATTCTTCGCTAACACGCAGCTCTGAAGACGAGAAAATATCTAAAGACTTTGATGCCTGTCTCTTATACACATCTAGATGTGTATAAGAGACAGGTATTAGGCCTCTGATGGCCATTGACAAAATTTTTCTATATCAAATCATTTTTGAGTTTTGGGGGTTTTTGTTAAAAAAACGAAAAGTGGTCAAAGTTACCCCGCCGGTCAAAGTAACCCCATTTTACGGTATATGAGTGGGGCTAGAAAATGCTTGACTCATTATTTAATGTTATGTTGGAATTTTATTAATAGGTGTTATAACTCACTCTATAGTCATAGTGTTCTTTAGTGTACAATAGTGGCTATTGAACACCATCAAACAATATCGAACACTTTCATATAGTGTTCAATAGTGCTCGAGGTGCTAAAGTTTAACTGTAATTTCTGTTAACAAAACGCACTTCCTTTTTTTGAGTTCTTGGTTATATATTGTGTTTAAAAATGTGCTTGTGCAAATAAAATAGCCATAAGTTTTGGGCTTAAAATCTTCTTCGAATTCTAGTATTGTTAAGATGTCGAACATTTTCTGCAATTTTATTCAGGTGTGTATTTTTTCCCATGGCCATTTCAATTAGAATGCATACATTTGCTGTGCAGGAGGTCACTTAGGAGATATAAAGCAGCAAGTCAGGGTGTGTGACAAGCCTCACCAACTGCCGCTGCTCACAGCCAGTGGTGCGTTGCCAATGAGAGCACTGTGGCTTCCTCCACCTAGTGGCACTAACCTCCCTGACCACTGCTGCTAGTGCCACTAAAATTGGCATGTCTCTTTCTGTCAGAATGACACCCAACAAAATGACTCCAGTCAGTGGTGACACTGGCAGCAAAATGTGTGGCAGTAGCACAAGTGCATCTTCTGTTGCTGCCACTCATGATGGCAGCTACAGCCACCGCAAGCAGAGGAAACGTCTTGACTCTTCTGTCTTGGCAGCCTCTAGCGGTGCATCAAGCAAAATGTTGAGCGCCACAAGTACGGCCAACAGCTCCAATGGTGCAAACAGCAATGGAGGCAACAGTGGCAAGAACATCAGCAGTGATGATGAGGACAAAGGGCAGGTGTGGACTCCAAAGCATCTTGGTGACCTCAGGGCCTACAACAGATCTGCATCAGAGGTGCCTGCTGAGGTGAGATGCTCTTCTTTGTGCGTCTCTGATTTGCTTTCATGTATTAATGCTGATATATCTTGCTGCCAGTGTCTAGCATTGGCTTTTTGCTGATCAAATTTAAATTTTTATCTTAAAAATTTTATTATTCCCATTTCTCTTTAAATCAGTGCATTTCCTTATAATTCTTTCTGCTGCATGTACTATAATTAATGACACCCTCAAAAGGCTATAACATTGACCTTGTGAAGACTTGCACTTGATACTTCTGTGCTATTTTATCTATAATATATTCAACAGGTTCTCTTGAGCTCATAATGTGTTGATGGGCATTTATGCTTCAAATTTGAAATTATTTTTAATTTATTTTATCATTCTGTCTATTAACAAGTGTAATATTTTGTACAAGGTTCTGGTCATATAATGTCATGCATTTTCCCCCAGCTTTTCCGCAAGGATTTGATCTCTGCCATGAAATTAGCGGACAATGAGCCTCTGGCTCAAGAGGACTACTGGGGCATCCTGGACCCCTGGAAGCAGGAGTGGGAGAGGGGAGTGCAAGTGCCTGTAAATCCTGACCTGCTTCCCATACCTTCAGTTACCACTTTTGTGGAGGACATAGGCCGCAACACCACTGATTTCAGGCTGTGAGTTATCAAGTCTTTATAAAGGCTCTTCTCATTGATGTTGTTACTTGATTTTGTTGTATTTTCCATGATGGAATAAGCTCCAGACTTATTTATTAGTATCAAGGATCTATTATGCAAAATTTTGTTTTGGTTTGGTTTAGGTTCATTTAACATACCTATTATTTTGAATTGTTAGTTGATGTATATTTCAGTGTCTCAATTTTATTAGTACATTGTTGAATCTTTTAGAGGCTAGTTAGTCCCTACCGCATGCCATATTATCTATCAAGAACCTAAATGTCTATGACTATTGAACTTTCTCTAATAATGTACCAGAAATATTTTCCGTCCTCTAATTTAAAAAAAAAAATGAATTGAATTTTCACCTTAGGATAGTTAACTCTGTATATTTGTCTGAGGGCATGCTGGGCATGTATGCATATATTATAGTTTCTGAATCAATCTATGCTCTGTAGTCATGATGGTTTCTATTTAAAGTCTGGAGAAATGGAGGTCCTAACTCTTTATGCACCAAAGGAGGATTTTTGTGCTTTATGTTTCATAAACTCTGTGCCTGTTATGAAAGTTTCCAATTCATGTGCTGATGCAGTTTTTCTCGAGTTGATTATCAAAGAATTATAGGCTTTAGAATTTCAATGGGAAGTACCGGTATGTGTATAAATTGAGAGAATTTTCAGATTGTTGTGAGGCATATATATAACTCATAATCTCAGCAGTGTATGTTATAAGTCAAGTGGAAGCTCTGAGGCTTACAAATTTATAGTAAACTAAGGCTGCTCATGCTGTATATTTGTGGGTTTTATGCAAAATAGATTTTGTTTCTAGTAAATTTGCTGTAGGCATTTACTTTTGTTAGGTATATATTCATTTATTCAATTTATTGTTGGTAGATCTATGATATTGGATGTATTCCACACCATTTGATCCAAAACTGATACATATGATACTAATGGAATAATTTTTTTCAGGCCTAAGAATCGCTATATCCGCGTGAACCACGATGATTTCTTTGACAATGAACGGCACATTCTGAGTAACTTGCCCACCAAGGCAGAGAAGATGTGCCGCTATGATCTGGACGTCCTCGACAAGACCTGGCTTGAATCCTACAATGGCGAACGAGCTAAGATGGGTCAGTATCTTCCCATGGCTGTGTCAGTATCCTCCCATGGCTGTGTCAGTGTCTGCCCATGGCTGTGGCAGTATCTGTCCTAGGGTGTGTCAGTGTCTGCTCATGAGTGTCAGTGTCTGCACCCATGGGTGTGTCAGTTTCTGCCCATGGGTGTGTCAGTGTCTGCCCATGGGTGTGTCAGTGTCTGCCCATGGGTGTGTCAGTGTCTGCCCATGGCTGTGTCAGTGTCTGCCCATGGCTGTGTATAGTTTGTATTAATGTTGGGTGTGTTGTCAACTGCTAGTCTTTGCTCTTGCTGTGTTGGAAGCTTTATTGAGCTCACTAAAAGGGAAAAATTTGATCTCTTGTAATACTTTGATATAAATTTATCTTGACATATTTATCATTGCAATAATTATGGAGGAATTGATGTTTTGAAGTGGAATGTTGATAATTCTATAGGTTCGTGACTTCAAAATCATTCGGTGTATTCAAAATTTAGATTTGATGATCACTAAAAAGATAGGTATGTGATTATTTTGAATAAAAAGCAAATCACAATTTGTTATAACTAATAATGTATAGTGTGAAAAGGCTTGTGCAAATATATATGAAATATGATACTGAAAGGTATTGGTAATGAAGGTGTTGACAAAAGGTTATTGCCTGATCTTTGATGTTTTAACAAGTATGTGGAGCATTTTTGATAAATAATAATTATAATATATTTTTACATATTGACACAGGTGCCGAGCCTGTCCCTGAGATCATCTTGGAGCAAATCGTGGAACACTTTGAGGAGACGTGCTGGGAGAACATTCAGAAGCTGCTGCAGGAGCAGGAGGCTCAGGCCATCGAGTATGATGAGGACACCATCTGCGACGTCTGCAGATCTGTGAGTCTTGTGATGAGCCATTGTATGTTCTTTGCGTTCATGGTATTGTTTTGTAATATGGGATCTCTGCTGTTTAGCTGAATATCATGCAAGTGTCACTGTAGCGTGGTGGTTAGCACCACTGGATGCGCAGTGATGGCAACACTGAAATGAGAGAAGCTGGTTGTGAGTTTAAACATTGGCAAACCTTTTTTATCGGAGTTGCTGGAATCGCCATCAATGGTGGTGCTCCCACCATAGCTTTGGGTTGTTGTCACTAAACGAACTCTGGGAACTAGTCACCTTGGGTTGATCTTAAGACTTTAAGTTGATGGTGTCATTCAAAACATTGACAAATAAATGAGTGTCTTTCGCCAAATCTCGTGTAAGTGTTCAGTGTTTCTAGTGTGAAGTTACCGGGTTGATTCAATTAAACTGTTTAATTGAATTACTCTGTGTTAACAAGTTACTGTGTTAATTCAATTAAATTAAATCATTGTAATCATTGTAGAAAACTCCTCTGTCTGGCTAACTGATGTTAGTCTTCAAAACAAAAAACTAGTTATCAAAATTTTCAACTTTGTTAGTATCTTGCATTTGAGAGGACGTATCTTGGCAAAAAATTGTATGCAATATTTGTGTCACATATGCCTGCATGCATCTGACCCGAGTTCTATGATGTATTGCAGCCTGAGAGCGAAGAGGGCAACGAGATGGTCTTCTGTGACAGCTGCAACATTTGCGTGCATCAGGCGTGCTATGGCATCACCACCATCCCATCAGGCTCCTGGGTGTGTCGCACCTGTGCTCTGGGCATCAAGCCGGACTGTGTCCTCTGTCCCAACAAAGGTAACCTGGGGCTGAGACGGTGCTTAGAGTGCTTAGGGTTGATGCTCTGTCCCAGCCAAGGTAACCTGCTGCTGAGGTGGTGCTTAGGGTGCTTAGGTTTGATGCTCTGCACCAGAAAAGGTAACCTGGTGCTGAATTGGTGCTTAGGGTTCTTAAGTTTGATTGTCTGCCCCAACAAAGGTTACCTGGTGCTGAGATGGTGCTTAGGTCTGATGTTCTGCCCCAACAAAGGTAATTTAGGGCGTTTACTATGAATTTGTTTTTTTTTTGATGCACTGAATGCCTGTGCTAGAAGCATCGGCCTCTTAAGGTACGTTAAATGCTGATCATTGATGAAAATACTAATTTAATTTTCCAAATATTTGAAGAACATTCTTCAAACTACAATTTTAGTAGATTGTATGATCATCCCTAACATAAGCATGTGTATTTGCCTCTAAAGGAGCTGCCATGAAGTCGACCAAGTCAGGCCAGAAGTGGGCACACGTGTCATGCGCTCTGTGGATCCCCGAGGTGTCCATTGGCTCTGTCGAGAGGATGGAACCCATCACCAAGATACCGAACATTCCTGTATGTTGTGATCCATTTCTGTGCTTGATTCTTGCTCAAATTAAGACTTGTGCAAATCTTTGTCTAGTGTTATTACTGATTATAGTTATCAGATTTAATTGTTAAAATAGTGACCGTGTAAAGATGAAGCCAGTGATATTTTTGCTGAGGTTTTGCAAAATCATGCACAAAAATTACGTCTTGATTCTTAAATATTTGTCAAAATGATTTGCTGTTCGTGTTCTTGTCTTCTTAGATCTACATCAATCAATTGCTATGTTATTTTTTCAAATTTTCCTGTCTTCAAATCTTTCATACAGATCCCACATTTTCTATAGAGCAGTAATAATGCTTCACTAAAGTAATTGAGATTTCTTTCAATGGGACAAACTAATAGAGTTTGAAGTGCTTATGTAGGTTTACAAAAATTTTTTTTATTGATGCACAGTTTAAAATATTTTTCTCTCGTGTATTCTGATTCTAATACACTAATTCTGTTTCCTTATGATTATATGAAGGGTGAGTAAAGTGCTGATGGCGTCAAGCTCAGGGTGAGTTCACTCCACTGCTAACGGCAAAACTGACGTCGTGCATTAGGCTTCTGAAATGTGTGTACTTGACAAAATTTTTATAGAATTCATGCCGGTAAATCAGTCGACTGTATTGAGTTTATTGCATTAGATGGAACTTAGCAGGCTTGGCTGATGGGAGGAGATTAAGGTTATTCAAGGCTTTAATGCATGTGGTGTTCGGTATTTCAGTGTGCTTTCAATTGTGTACGGATTATAGCCTGATGGTTTATATATTTTAAATTTTTGCATTTCAAATCTACTCTATTAGTAGAGAAATTGTTTGACATTTTCCGACTTTTCCCTTTTTTTGGTTTCATATTGCCAGCCCATTTCAAAATTCAACCGTTGAAGCTTTTTTCTTCTTAGAAACTTGCTCCCTAGGTTTTTCATAAATTTGATTTATTCCCTAGTTCTTTTCTAAATTTTGTTTATCATTTAAAATACTTTTTTGTGCTGCAGTCATACTGCGAGAAACACAGCCGGCAGAAGAAGACGAGCGGCGCGAGCGAGGAGAGCGACGGGGAGACGACGACCTCCGTGGCGGCCTCCGCCAAAATAGCGGGCGGGGGCCGTATCGCCCCCCTCGACTCTTCCCCTTCATCCACCCGCAAGAAGAAGGACCTAACCTCCGAGCAGAAGAACCAGGCGCGCGCTGCCAAGCTCAGGCAGATTGAGACTGAGTTTTATAAATATGTCGACACCACGAAGACTTCCAACTATCTTGACATTGATCTCGAAACCACAGAGGCCATCTTCTATTACTGGAAGCTCAAGAGAAGAGTGAGTGCTCTGACATTTAAGCTTAAGTTTAAGTAGTTGAAATTGTTATTATTATTGTTGCTCCCACCTTTGTAAATGCCTAATTTTTCGCCCATACGTACTCGAATTTAACGTCAGCAATATTTGTCTTTTGAAGCACGAGTTCAAGTTGCTGAGCAGGCTTAGCAGGTGACATGGCTTCTTTTGATTGGAGACCATTGAAGAAACCCATCATCATGTCAATGCTGCGTATTTACTGATTCTTCACATGTTTTCCTCATGAGCGTTGCCATACATATCGACTTTTGAAGCAATTTATATGTTGAATGTGGAGATCATTGCATGGTTATGATTGTCTAATATACAGCCACTTTCTATGGGCCATTTCGTCTCTTGTGACGGGACGGCTCAAACTTCCCTCGGGGATATTCTAACGAGGTAATTCTATGTATTTATCCCTAAAGTAGGTAATAGCATTAACATAATTTTTTTTCCACAGTCCGGCTTCAACAAACCCCTGCTCACGCCACGCAGCGAGGAAATAGACTTCCTCTGCCACCAGCAAGACCACGACCAGCGCCTCAAGATGTTCGTCCAGCTGCGCCAGTATCTCGAGCGGGTCAGTCAACATTGCATTAACACGTTGACTCCGAAGTGGTACATATGCGTACTACGAAATGTATTTCTCCAGGACGTAGTGGTACATAATTCAGGTTGCCTAAAATTGGCCAAATCCGAGAACAAAAAAGGCCGATAACTCAAAATATACTAGTTTATTTGTAGGTTCCACTATAAAAATTCCATTCATTTTCTTTTTGCAGTATTTAAAATTTAATTAGGAAGTACCCCTATCATAAATTTTAGCCGGCCAACGCAATTGAGAAAAACTAAATCACGGAATTTGTCCGGGAAAAATGACCGTCTGGCAACCCTGTTTAAGAACAGTACAAAAAATGAAATAATAGTACAAGATGAAGCAATCGTAGTCAACGTGTTAATGAGAGCCAATTGTTGGAACTTACTTGAAACATTAGCTGATGTTGATGTGGTGCGCCATAACCTGAACATTTAGGCAAATAAATATTTGAACAGGGCTCGGCTTCTATCTACTCACTTATTAATAATAATTTACATCCCATGAAGCTTAACATGCGGATATACGTCGCAATGAATGGAGATTTGAATATATTTCTGCATTGAAGGTGGGTTTTTGTTTTTTTGTGTGAAAGCAGGAAGGCCTTAAATATGTCTGAATCTTCCGACTCCGTAAAGGTTTCTATTTTCTCTATTCGTGAAAGCTGGTGAAATGTGAGTAACTAAGTTTAATTCATTGAAATATAAAGGTCCCGGAACAGATGCGTATCTTACAGTAAGAATGTGCCCCTCTTGAAAGACCACCAATATTTGTGGAAGGTTCTATGTATTTTCAGTTTTCACCCGAAGTAAACTGGCAATACAATCCGTCTTGTGTGCCTTTAAGTTATGTTGGGGTTCCCTTAAGCAGATTTTGGTAAATGCTGCTACAGTAAGAACTTCTCGTCGCATGACTGTGCTTCGAAACCAAATAAAGATTCTATTAGAAGAAAGTATTTGATGGTTTTATTAATCATTGAGCTTTTTAAATGAGGAATAAATTATAGCGTCAACCTTAACTTTCTGCTCTTGATGGCTGTTTTAAAAGGGCTTTTGACGGTCAATTGTCGTTAGTGCATTGCTGTTGAAAGTTAATGCAAGTTGATAATGAATTTAGAATCTCACGTTAGAATGCCATTAGAAATATTGAAGTAACGAAATATTGAAATAACTTGCATTGCAATGCATGTGCTTCAACGTAGCTTCCTCCAGAAGCTACCAACTGCTTGATCATACTCCTCAGTAAATATCTTGGTATTGAACTCGTAACAGAAAAATTTAAGACAGTTTAATTCATAAAATCGTATGCATTATTTGTACCGGATCAGTTTTCTTCTTTTTATTTTTGTTTTTTAAATAATTTTCTCTAAAATTGGGACATGTACATCTAAGAATGCATTTTTTCGGAGTTAATTTGAGGTTATTGCTGTGCAGGTGCGCAACCTGTGCTATATGGTGGGGCGGCGCGAGAAGATGGGCCGATCTTACCTGAAGACGCGCGAGCAGGTGCTGCTCAAACAGTCCGACATCATGACCTCCAGCCTGCAGCTCTCCAGCAGTGAAGTCGAGGCCGTGCTAAGTGCCAATAAGGGACCTTCAGTTTACGATAGGCTGTGTTCAGGTCTAAATTCAACCATCGTCTCTTCAGCCCAATTTAATAGTTTCATTAGATTACTCGAGTCTTCGCAACCCGACAACTTAACTGCTGCTCCCGCCATAAAGAGCTCCCATCATAAGAGTAAGAACCGCAAGAAGAAAGATGTGAATGGTTTGGTTCGCCACGGAGGTCGTCACGATCTCAACCCATACAGAAAAGATTACATCAACGGCGCCGAACAAAGGAAGTCGCGGTCGAGTTCAGCTAACTCGTCGGTTGAAACGGACTCTGATTCTCTGTCGTCTTCGCGGTGGATGCTTCCCAATTCTTCCCGCATTCCTGTTTTCACGAGCAGCGAGGATGATATGCCTATTAATAGTAGATTTATTAACCGTCACCAAACTCTCCCTAAGCCTAATGAAAAATCGAAAAAATCGGGCTCCAGGAAAATCTCTTCTAACGGAGGAAGAAAACCAAATAAAATCAGGCCGACCACCGCTGATTCTTCGCTAACACGCAGCTCTGAAGACGAGAAAATATCTAAAGACTTTGATGCTCTGCTACAAAGTAAAACAAGTCCTGTTAAGGCTAAGAAAAGCTCGCAGTCTTCTGTCTCTCGATTGTTATCTGTGCGAGACCCTCTTTTTGAATCATCAGAAGATGAAACCGAGATCACTCTGTCCAAAGCGCCTCCCTCGAAGGGTAGGGGCAAAAAGCGTGGCTCTCAGAAAGATCCAGTGCCTGGCAGCAGTGGTGATGAGAAGCCTCCTGTTGTAGTTCCCTGTAAACGAGGTGCTCGTGCTGGTCGAGGGAAGACGGCCCGAGGCTCTAGCATTGTCAACGCTGCTGTCAAAAGCAGTGCTTATTCTGATGAAGATGAAGATGATTTGCCTAGACCAACCTATAAGCTTACAACAGACGAAGAGAATAGTAACGATAAGCAATCTGACGTGTACGAACTTTCGGACGTAAGCGTCAAGAGTGAAAGTGCCAAGGGCAAACGTGAGACTGATGAAGAGAAGTTCTTTGTAGCAGACAGTAAAGATAGCGTCTTGGACGCTCAAAATTTTGCCATGCTCAAGACAAAAGCCGCCATGAAAGAGTTCACTCCAAAGATAGAAGAGAAAGCTGAGAAGTTCAGCAAAAAGAAGGAGCGACGCTCGCAACGTGTCAAGTCAGACGATAGTGAGGCAGCGAATGATTCTGAGGGACCTGACTTAAGCCTCTTTGTACCACAGCGCGCGGCCGCTAAGAAAGCGTCTGAGTTGATAACTTCTCACAACGTGAGCGGTACAGCAGCTCCAGCTACCGCCGCGGCGCCTCTGAACAATGCTGGCGCTGTCTCCGCTGCCGAGAGCTCCCATGAAATGAACAAGAGACCGCGCGGATCGGCAACAAGGGATGTATGCGTCAAAAAAGATGTTAAGACATCTCCTGAAAAGTCTCCTTCAAAATCCAAGCGAGGGCGACCTCCCAAAGACCGGAGCTTAGAACGAGCCGAATTAAGAGATGAGCCTGACATGGCCATGAAGAAATCTCTTTTTGAAGCCAAAGAAATCCTTCATTATGTTCCAATCAGACAGGCAGCTATGAAGGCGGCTCAGAATCTCAAGAATAAAGGTGCTACTGTAAATGAAGAAATGCCGGTTTCGTTGGCGTCAACAGTTCCTCTGGCTTCTGATCCTGCTACTTTAACCACTCCGACGTTGAGCGCCTCCAATAAAAGTAAAAGAAACAAATTTGAAGCTCGCGTGAACGCTGTTGACTCGGCTGCTGTTAAATCTCCACGCTTACGACGATCTGCGCGCTCCACGTCCAGCCAGTCAGACTCGGACTCGGATGGCCAGCTCACTGATCCTAAGCGCGTCAAGCGAGATGTGCTCGTGAAGGAGAAGGCTCCGCGCTCCATGTTTTCTGAGAGCGAAGAGGAAGTATTCACTTCTCCCAAGAAAGACCGGACTAGAAGCTTCTCTTTATTAGATAGCGAAAAATCGCCTGAAAAGAAGCAGCTTTTTCGTGGCGACATGTTTGTCCACGAGTATCAAAGCTCATCTGAGAACGATGATGAAAAAGACAGCAGATTCTCCATCACAAATATTAAAAGCAGCAACACCTCAAGTGTGCGCAAAAGTACAGCGTCTCTCGGCGAGAAGCGATCACAGCGAAATCATTTGCAGCCGAGCGGACGATCCGAACACTTCCGACGAGAGGTTGAGAACGAAGAGCCAGGTCCTGGAACCCATAGGAAGGCCCCTGACAAGAAGCTTAAAACTTCCGAAGGGCGGCCTGAACATGGGTTTCAGCCGCCGACTCCTGCAAGAGGCCAATCCCCCAGAGTGCGAGAATTCCCAGTGTCAACCTTGCGAGGGTCTCGAGTATGTCAAACTGAACGCGAGCCGCGAGATGCTGATGGTTGCAGCCGAGGTAACACTCATGAATCACTCTCGGAGGGCTGTGGAGAGTCGTCACAAAGAGAAGAAAAAGTTTCCTCTCTCGGAGAGTCTCGCACCTACTCACCACTACCCAAATCCACCGCCGCTCTCCTTCCCAATCTCTCCGCCTCGCCTGCGCACGCTCGTGTCTCCTTGCCACACTCCCCCCAGTCGCCTCTCGCTCTTGCCCATAGTTCCCCATCATCTGCAGCCTCATCCTTGCTCCACAGAACTCAACCCTCAGCTTCCCAAGATTGCCTTGGAGCTTTCCCTGCCCTCCGAACCGCAATCAAATCTCGAGAGAAACTACAGCTTGCGGCGGGCACCGTTAAGCCCCCTGCTTCCAGTGAGGCGCTTCAAGAGGAGCTCTTCGGGACGCTCCCCCGCCAGCAAAAGGAGGCGCCCCTGAAGACTGGCGATCAAGGCGCTTTGGTCCCTAGTGAGCTCATGCGCCCTGACAGTCGGTCGTCAGGTCTTGCTGATTTTGTTGTGAAGGAAGTATCGCCTCTGAGGCGACTCCCAAAGTCGCTTGTTGCTGACCAATCGATTAGGCCTAAAGATCCTCTTGAGATGAGCCCGGCTTTAGAGGATGCTTTAAGTAAAGCTAATATAGATACCCTTAAAGATACCCGATTTGCTTCAGAAGTGTCTGGTAAAGAGCGTGTGGAGCAACCTAAAGATAGTGGATATAAAAGTGCAATAACAACTCCAGAGCCAGTCGATAGGTTGGACTCGAGCAGACTTCTTGAGAATCGTGTACAAGATAGTGATGTCAGTAGGATTTTAGGTGAGAACCAAACTGTTGTGTGTAATGACGTGCGAACGTCTAGTGCTAATAGTGACTATGGTAGCAATGGTAATAGCAGCTCCGTGTCAGGTATCAGCAGTAGTAGCAGTACTAGTAGTGTAGTACCCGGTGAAGTGTCCCCTGTTAAACCTTGTATTACGTCTTATGACAACAAACTGTCTAAGAACATTGGCAATAACCGCAGGAAAAACCTTTCTAAGCTCATCGATGACATGACCAAAAAGGTCAATTCTGATCTCTCTTCTAAGCTGTGCTCGCCACCCCACCAGGCCTTCTCGTCCTCTTCTCCCCACCACCCACATATACCAGCGTTTGCTACCACCCACCATATTCCTGTTACCGGCGGTCACCGCGCCCTCTCTCCTCTCCTCCCTGCCTCCCCTCGCTCATCTGTCGCCCTGCCTGACACGAGCATCGGGCAGCTCCTGCCTACGTCTGTCCTGACGACTTGTTCTGACGCGGGCCTTTTCAGCAACGCCTTGCCTCACCCCAACCCCGTAGCCACGTGTCAGGTCGACGTTCCGGGTACCGTCCGTCCGGAGTCCCGACCTCCTACCAACGACGTCCCAATGTTGGATGTATTGAACGAGGCGTCACCTCTGGACGACAACGCCCCGCCCAGCGACATGGACAGCTCTGACACCGCCAGCATCAGCGTTGCGTCGTTCAAGCAATGGTGGCGTAGTCAGTTTAAAACTTCGCCTCCACGCTCATCGTTTGATGGACTGCAGTCGTCGCAGCTAGACGCGCACCTAGTGCAGCTACAGCACCTGCCTGACTATCAGGTGTCGCACCATCTCGATATTCGTAACTTGCAAATGATGAATCAATTGCACCCACCATTTGGTGTACCACAAAGTCTCTTCAATTCCTTCATGTCGAAGGACGAATTTCTGATCAACTCATTTGTCAGACAGCAACACCTCCACCAACAACAAGAGCAACAACAACTTGATTCACAGCAAAAGCTTCTACAGGAAAAACAGCAGGACCTGGAATACAGTGCTTCTGAAATAGCCGCTAAAGAATCATCGGATCTCTCAACTCCTAAGAAATTCATTAATTCTTTTATCCAACCTCATTCCAACAGAATGTCGCCCTCTTTTAAAAGTGACTTCTCTTCCCTCGGTTGTAACGTGAGCTCCGATGCACCAATGAGCCCAATATCTGTTGGAAATTTGGCTGCACCACCGAGCTTCGTTGCGACTGCCGTCACGGACCACATGGGCTTCCATCCCTCCTTGTGTGCTCCTCCAGTCAAGTCCATGCTCGTCGCCACACGTCCTCCTGCCTCTCCTTGTCACTTGCCAAGAGCTGGGGTACAGTCTCCTCACAAGACGCCTTCATCAGTGACGGCATCTGAAGAAGAAATCGTAGTGGATAACGAGAGCCCTTTAGCCAGCGACAGAGTATTATCGCCTCCTCGCCTTTTGGGGACCGCACCCCCCACATCCCAGCCAGCCGACTCCTGCCTCGACCAACACGCTGTTCCTTCTTACCAGCCGTCGTCTGCCAGTTCTCCTCATGACAAGTTCAGGAAGGACGCCGACGTGAGCTCACCTGCCGCAGCTCCTGTTGGCATGTCCCCTCACATTGTCACTAAACCTTCTGTATCTCCTGCTTATTCTGGTAAGTCTCGCAGAAGCCAAGTCGGGAAGGATGGTGTTGCTGAACTTAAGAGTAAAATGGATGCATCGCTGTCAAGTCCTGGCAGAGTAATGCCAATTACAATATCCTTGACAAGTGGGAGCAGCGCACAAGCATCACCATCATCTCACCTTAAAATTTCACCATCACTTTCTTCTCCTCGATCAAGCAGACGTCTCCAAGAGGCTGCTGCAGCCGTAGCTAAAACACCGGCATCGGTAAGTGATTCTGGTGATACTTCTCCAGCATCGATCTGGCCTCCTCCACTCACCATCATGAGCCCTAAACCCGTGACACCACAAGTCACCCCCCGTTCTGCAATGGCTGAGACTGTGTATGACGTCACTGATGATTCTGACGTTGGTACTAGTGGGTCCAAAGCCAACACTCCCGCTGCCACTCCCACTGCCGAGCACTATAAAAGTATGTCTCCACAACAGAAGCGAATCCCCATCTATATGACTGGGGCTAAGGCCGGGAAATCTAGCGCGTCGCCGGATAAGAAATCGCCTCGCGGCCAGGCGGTGTCACCGCGTTGGACGCCCAAAGAAGAAGCAAAGAAGAAAGTAAACAGACGCAGCAACCAGTCTGGCGGTAAAGGTGGCCGTGGCAGAGGTACGGCTCGCGTGAAGGGTAAAGGCCGTCAGAGCAAAGTGGCTGTTCCGAAGGAACTTGTGGGAACGGTGTACGATTTCGATTTTGATGACGAATTCAGTGATGCCAAGTCTAAAAATCAGTCCACTTTGGATGATTTGCGGATGCTCCGAGAGAAGCGTCTAAGTGTTGATGCTCCTCAGCCTCCTACTCCTACTTACGCACTTGACACTCGGGAGCCACCTCTACCCTCGTATAAGAAAGCCACAAAGGAAAGGAAGGGAAAGAACAAGGAGAAAGAGAGCAGCCCCAAGCAAAGCGAGAAGCAGCAAGATCGCTCACCGTACGGCGAATCTGTCCTCCATTCCTTACCTCAACAGTCCCCTAAGAATATCGTCCCTCCCGTCAAAATTTCCTCCACAGGCGTAAGAGACGAGAATAAAATAGTTTTATCAGATTCTCACTACGTGTTAAAGAACAATGTGGATTTTATGTCTACTGCTACATACACAGCAACGCCTGCCGCTCGTCTAGGTTCAGATGACACCAACATTCTCAAGATTAAGATCAAAGGTCCGTACGCTAATTCCGCGTCATCCAGCGCCCCCGTGCCTCCCCCTGAGCCGGAACCGTCATCCTCAGCCACATCTTTCCGACGCATGAGAAAGAAGGAACTTATTCGTCAGTATTGCAATCAGGACCAGAATCCTCTGCCGTCTGCGGTCGATGCTCATGGTGGAATGGGGATCGGTGGTGCAGTTCTAGGTGGTCCCTCAGCGACGGGTGATTTTTGCATTGGCGGGATCGTTGGCAGTGGCTTGGGCAGTACCGGTATTGCTAATCCGCCTCCTCAAAAGCGCGCTGCCATTTTTATCCCGAAAGCTGTTGCCTCCATGCCTACCATTCCCAGTCGGGAGGACTACAAGCGGCATCGCAACCCTCCGGAGGACGGAAGTAGTTCGTCTACATCAGCCGGTGGCGCAAGAAGGCGACGAGCAGCTCGAGAATCTGCGAGCAGAACCAAGCAACAGCAGGCCGCTGCTGAGAAGCAGGAAGAGACCGACACTTCCAGCAGAAAACGTGCACGGAGCGTCAGTAAGGAGGAAGAAGTGAAGAGCGTCGCAGATGCTTTGCCACCCGCTAAGTTGAGAATAAGCCTCAGCAAGAAAGGTAGCAAAGTGACTCGTGTCGCTGAGCCTTCACCCAACCAAAGTGCTGCTGAAACTCCTGCTGTTGCTGCGATTATTCCCTCTGAAGCTGTTGATGCTGTCACGCCCGGCGTTGCTGCCGCTCCTGTCAAAGACAGCACTGACATGGGGAGATTCCGCCCACCTAAGAAAAGGCTACCGGAGGAGCACTCGTTTGAAAAAATACGTAATGATAATCTTCGTTTCCGTGAAGAAATAATGAATTCATTCCCAAAACCCCGCAACAAGAAGCGGAAACACCGCGATGGCAGTAGTAACAGTTCAGACAACGAAATGGACGATGAACTGTGTAAGAGCAAGGCTTCACCTGACGGCGATAATGACGTTACAGACGTCACGGTCGTATCGAATGAGTCGACGAAGCTTGTACTTCGCTTCAGTAAATCCTTAATTAAAATTGAACCTCCAGATCGTCCACTAACGCCCACTCCTCCTAGCAGCGTCAAAAGCAAGGGAGACAGCGGCAACAATAGTGATGCTCCTGGAGCTTCTGAATTGTGGCCTGGTGCGGACGATGGAGGAGTCAGAACGGGCAGGAAGGCTTGCAACGTCTCCGCTGACGACTGTGGTGGCAACAGCAAGTCATCAAAAGAGGACAATGGGTCCAGAGAAAAGATAGGCCCACCTCAGAAGATGATGCCTCTCAAGTTGAAGTTACAGAGGCGACCTGATGGTTATACTTCAGCGCATCCCAGTTTACCAGGTTACTCTCTGCTCGGCCAAGGGCCAGGGCCTCCTGTCACACAACCGCTCGATCCACCACTCTTGATCTCCTCAGCCTCTCACTCTTCGGAAAAACAGACCCTGTCTTCTGATGGAAAAAATTCGCCTCCTACCATCGAAACAATCACTACTAGAACCACCAGTGTAAACTATGATAAATTGTCCAACATTCTACGAGATTCAAACACAACTGATAATTCAACAACTTTAAATGATTCTTCTTGTCTTTCGCCTCAGCCACCGTTGACATCAGTTTGGACAAACTGCATTGCCACGACCTCATCCTCGTCTCCTACGTCTCACCTTCCATCTATAGCTGACTGCCCTTCGCAATCTTTTAAGACGAACACCAACAATAATAACAATAACAGACAGAAGAACAGCTTTCATTCAATCGGAGTGTCGGATAGTATAGGCGTGTCTGGCTTGCACTCCGAGGGCTCGACTAACTCTCACGTGACGAACAACTCCTCGGAGCTCAACGACGACGTCCTACAGCGGCTGGAGGAGCAGCTGGCCGCCTCTGATGGAGGAGGCGTCGTGGGTGAGGCAGGAGGAGGCAGAGAAGGCTGCGGTAACGGCAGTAGTAGTGGTGGCATAGAAGGAGAGTCTCACCACGAGCATCACCATCCCAATCATACGTACAAAGAGAACTCTAATGCCAGATGATAGTAGTGAGTGAGTTGTACGCGAGAGCTGGCACCGGCTGCTGGTATTGATGTCGTCCTAATCCATGCTCAAGTCTTGACTTAATTTAATCCGCCCGTGTAACGGTGCACTCACTAATTCGAATTTTCTACTATCATGCTCAGTTACCTGAAATTGAATTGTAGCTCTCATTTGTTGCGTCAATTACTGCATTTTCCCGTGGAAAGTATTTTAATTGCAATTGATATTTTGTATAAATCTATGTGTAAATTCTCTGTATTGACGAATTCGACTTTTCATTTGTCTCTCATTTGCATGGAAGTCTGAACTTGTTTGAAGCGCAGCACTCAGTGCTCCCTAGACTGACGACAAAGCAGCGCGACTATCGCTGCGCTGAGACGCTCTGCTGATCTCAGCGGCTATACTCACGCGTCTCGTGTTGCTGCTAACACACTTCTTCCATCCATTCTCTCCTACTTGGTTAATTCTGACAATTGTATACTTCAGAGAGTTGGATCAAAACGATCGTTTTGCATTTTATTCAATCTGTAGCTAGTGTCTTCTCCTAAATGTCACGACTCGTGAGTTTGATTTAAAAGTCTATTGCAATTTATTAGTTCAGTTTTTTACGCTTAATAGTATTGAAACTCCTATCCATTTGTACGTTGATAATCTAACCCGCATAAAATGGAATGCTTTTAAAATGTCACGAACATTTCTTTTTATTTCCAGCATCGTCTAAGTGGAATCAAATTCGCTTCTTGTTTTAAATTTGATACTTGTTAGAATCGTCCGAAATGCTTCAAAATTCTGTTAGTATATTTTAGTTTCCTTGACATTGTGTATGGGACAAGTGTACTGCAACATCGAAACTCCAAGCTCGTTACAATCGAGTGCTTGACTAGCCTTACACGGCGTGCGTGAGAGTTGCCCTGAGCTGAGCAAGCTGCCCAGTGCGGTGAAGTGACTGATGCCGCGTGCCGAAACTCTCGCTAGCTGTACAAATGTAAATACACGTCGTTCATGTTGCTCACACCTTCATAAGGTAATGTTCTTGTTATTAATTTATATTGTTAGATAAGGCAATATTTTACAGAAAGTTGAACGATAAACTTCTGTCCCGCAATCCTGTTAGATAAAGCGTAGCAGGACCAACATTTGTTGTTCGTTGGTCTTGCCCTGCAGTCGTGAACTGCTCTTCTAACCCTTCGAAAAGAATCTATTCACGTAACATATAATATTTTTTATAATTGAAGCCATTCTTTTGTTTAAGATTCCTAAATGCTAGCGACGTTACTTGAGGTGTCTATGTTCGAACGTGTCGTTCCGTCCTACAGATACACGAAATAAATTCAATTCACCGAAGATTAGTTTTCTTGGACTGGGTTTCATGAAAGATTTTTCTAACGGCTTAATTTAGTTGGTTCACGAAAAACTTACTATTTTTCATAACATGCCTTGTCCAGATATTATAGCTACGAAATATTTGTCTCGAAATGCCGCAGCGTTGCTCGTAGGAAACAGCTTCGTTTTCCCATCGCAATATTCTGCTGCGATGTTCATTCATGAAACATCCATTATTGAGAAACAAATTTTTTTATTTTAATAAAATTAATTAGGGAGGAGAGCAAATTGATCGAATTTCTTGGATTGAGCAGGAAATAGTCGAGGCTCAGCTTCATATTTTAACTGATGCTTTTGCTGATCAAATCTGCTGATTGAGCTGATTGATCTGCTGATTGGTAAACCCTGAGCAGTCGGCCGTCGCTTCCCTCGACAATGGGAATCGTACGCAATTTTGAAGAAAATTTACATTTGAGTAATGGGACTTGGCTGTTACATCCTGCAGATAAGAGGAGATTAGATTGTCTTTCTTTATTGCGGTGCAAGGTTCTCTTTGCTGTGACCACTGGAGTTATATCAACTAAAAGCTCTCGCTAAGCGCAGTATCTAAACGTAACGACTGCAACTCTCCTTGCAACTCAAATGTTAATTTTTTAAAGGTATTGTTATTAGACGAAAAATATCCTTATTGTTTCTCTCGCACATGCATAGATTCTCAGACATGTGTTCGATTTCGGGGCCAGAATGTAGCCCGTTTTGCAGGTACTTCGCCAGTACTTAATCTGCTTAGCGCCTTCTCTCACCACCTGTTTCAGTTTACTCTGCTTAGCGCCTTCTCTCACCACCTGTTTCAGTTTACTCTGCTTAGCGCCTTCTCTCACCACCTGTTTCAGTTTACTCTGCTTAGCGCCTTTTCTCACCACCTGTTTCAGTTTAATCTGCTTAGTTTCACCGCAAGGGTTAATTTAGAAGTTGATTTTGTTTTCGGAATTTGGATAGAAATTTTGCTGTCGGTTAAATTGTATTGGTAATCCAGGCGTTTTCGACACTTTCTTAACGTTTTACATTGTATTTTAAAACATTTCATTTAAACGCTGCCACTTTACTCAAAAATATGCCCAGCTCGTAAAGTTTTATCTATTTAATATTGGCGTATCCTTATTCCAACTGGATAGCTTCAGTTTCTGTCAGAAATTTATGCCGTTCTAGTTTTTCAGTCGTTTGCTTCGCCATTATGTGCGTATATTGTGCTTGGAATAACTGTTAGATATCATGTTAGCAACGCTGCTAATTATATCACCGGTGTCATAATTCTTCGTAATAATCCTTGCTTCAGTGGATTCATAAACATCTTTTGGATGCCACGGACAAAGGCAAGAAGTCTGTCCATCTTGATCTTACGATCTCGACTTTGCGACTGGCGCTTCTTTAACATTTTCTCTCGATACCAACTTGTTATGATACAAACATAAGTGAAATTTATAATGAGAGTACTTGAAGCTTACGTACGAGTTCTAATGCCTTTTTTCTCAAAGAACTCTTCACACTAATGAAACTGAACTTACCTTACCTACAAATGATTTTAACAAACGAATACAGATTTTTATTTCTTGACTGGTTTAACTCGCATTAAATTTCGAATTATTGGCGACACCTCTTCATCGACTACGCAATTCCTTACTTTTATGTATTTTCGCTTCAAAATGAAAGGCACAACGAGACCATACCAAAATACAGTCAGGAAACATGCAGCATTCGTTCGGTTGTACCTTTCGGCCTGAATTTATATGCTAGAAAATAGCCTATTCTATGCCCTCCATTGAACTCAATTAAAATATTCTGTACAAATAAAAGGAACAGAAGAAGCCAAAGCAACTATAGAGAAATTTGAATTGTATAATTTGATGTCATAGTCACAGGGTTCAACTTGCACCGAATCCTCGAACTTATTTTCTTTTTTGCCGTGGCGTACTGATGAACTTGGCTAGACGACCTGAAATGTTGCATTTGCTTCACGGCCTTGGGTTATTTTCAATTGAATTTTAAATAAATTTCCGTGAATTCTGACTGAACCTTACTTTCTAAATATTTTTAAACATCTGAAGATCGTTTTGTATGTTGTTTAGGTAGCCCCAGTTGATTCTCGATTTGCGGTAGAGCTCTTGGTGCTCCAGTCCATTATGAAGTTTGTGCAGAAATGCCCTAGCTTCGGGGGGCCAATATATAATGCAAGCGCCGTTCCTTGGCTCCCAAAACGTACAATGATCGAATATTAGATATGACTTAACTTCTACCACGAATACCCTGCACGTAGTTAATGTAGGCATTGTTCTGACTTTGAGGTTTAGTTATCTTGTTATCAATGATCTGTTTTATTTGTCGAGGTATTATACCTTGCATTTTAATTGAAATTTACATTACTTCTAAGACTGCTAATGCATAGTTCCAAGTGTGTATTGTATGCATCTTAATTTTTACCAAACTTTGGTCTGTGAAAGGTAAATCTTCTTTGTTAAACGCTTTCTAATTTTGCTTCAGTGCCACCTCATAGCTGCTGTCGCGTTCTAATGCTACTTTCTTTAGCTTTCTTTGCAAAGGAATGTTTAATTCTTGCGTTGGTGACATAATTTGTTACGTGTTTCAAGCAGGAAGTCGCTACCGTTCTTCACATTGTTCCGCTAAATTTACCTCTTTCTGGAAATTTCCAGCTCGTGGCGTATGCTCATGTCTTCTAGGCGAAATACTTCAAAACATTCTTGTGTAACTTACAATAATTTTCAAGTAATAAAAAGCACTTTTGACTTTTCTTTTGGTTATCCAAGTTAAGTTTTTCGTTCACTATAACCTATTGATTAATATCAGCTTCAGTAATGTATTGACCTGGGGCCATAGCTTTCAAACTCGCTAAGTGAACGTAAGTACTTACGCACTATTTTCTTGTCAATGATTGGTGGATTTTGCTTGAAAGGCCGTCAATGATTGGCTGATGAACTTACGACCTCTTAACTTTTTTTGAAAGTATAGGCCCAGCTATGTTCTGCTGTACCCATGCCGCTATATCTGACCGAGCGAACTGAAACTCTCAATTATATTACCAGGGACTTAGAGGCAATATTTGATGAGCATGTCGAGGGGAATGACGCTTGGGGCTTCCCTTTAGTTCACAGTAAAGATTCGTATTTTCTTAATCAGGTAGCTGTGCCCCTGATCATGTTTCCCTGGGAATGTTAGCGTTACTTTCCCCTAAATTTATGGAAGTTCTTTTAGTATCGGCCATTATTCAACAGGCAAAATTGTAGCACATTTCGCCATGGCATTGTACTTTCGAGAAGTTCGTGTTGATCTAAATTTTCCTTGACCGGCTCGCCGTATGTTTAAAATCCTAACAATGTAACAATGCCTTGAAATGTTGGCATGTCCGTAAACGACTAGGTTTTTGACATTTTATTTTATTTTTGTTGTACTGTCGTATTCGACTGGACTGTTTCGACAGTCCTTTTCTAATATAACTCATTGAAGAATGTTATTAACTCGTAAGCCATTGCGGTCTAAGCTGAGGCACTACTTCTCACACACCCCCTCTCGAGTGCTCTCTGCTACCCATAGCTCGTAAATATTGTAAACGCTGATCTTATTATGTATGTAAATATGTTTCGATTGTACAAAATGATGAACATCGTACGTTTATGTAAAATATTATGATTTTTTGAGTATTGTAAGTATAATTTGGTGCGCATCATGTTTTTTATATATCTAGCTTCATGCTATTAACATTATTGAATTAGTTGTTTATTTATTGGTAGAGGTTCAATAATTAATGTGTATAAAGTACTGGACTCTAAACATGGTCACAAACTCTCTCGCTGCCGAGCAACCTTGCTTCCTACGGCCCCTCTTGCTGTCCCGCTCCTACTTCCTACAGCTGCACCTGCTGTCTCGCTCCTACTTCCTACAGCGTCACCTGCTGTCCCGCTCCTACTTCCTACGGCTGCACCTGCTGTCCCGCTCCTACTTCCTACGGCTGCACCTGCTGTCCCGCTCCAGCTTTTCATTTCCATTTCAGCCTCTTTTTATGTGCACTAAATTAATATTCATTTTAAAAAGTTTTTTTGCATCCTTTCAAATTCGAATCACGAGTTCGGGAAATTGATCTGAATTGTTGGGGACTGATCGCAAATGCGCCACGTTTCCTCACCCTAAAAAATTATTTCAACATTTGGGTACTACTTGGCTGCCTACTTTTGCTGGTTGAAATTTGATCACTCATAATAAGATCACTCATCTTATTGTGATGACGGTGCAACTTTTTAAATTTTTTTCATACCAGGCTTAATCTTGTTAAAGAGTTTTGAATTTTTTAAGATTGATCAATACATGACGAGTAAAGACTCGGGGTAATTCAACACATCTCAAAAGTTATGGAAATTTTTACTGATATTTCTGCGTGAGAGAACAATTGATGGCTTACTTGTGGTTACGTCCGTACCTACTCTATGCTTCTCGCCTCCTGATTCTCGTCTCTTCCTGCTTCTCGTCTGTTTCTGCTGCTCGCCTGTTCCTCCTGTTTATCGCCTCATACGCCTGTTTCTCTCCTCCTGCCTGTCTCATGCGCCTGTTTCGCTCTTCGCTCGCAGCACTACTAACGCTTCTCGTCTGTCTCCTTCAACCAACAGTTGTTACTTTCGTCCCGGTGCGCGGCGTGTTCAATTGATTTAGTCGAAACAAATATGAATTCTGAACTTTAGTCATGTGATAAAATTAAAGATATTGAGCAAAGATACATTTTTTATGTTATACCATGGCGAATTTATTTTCCTCGGGAGTTTATTGTAGTTTTCATCTTGGAGAGACTGCACGGCAACTGGGTATATGTTTAGTGATGCACTCATATCTGGCGAGGCTAAACGTTCAAACCTCTCAACTCAAACCTCAAACCTCTCAAGCTGATCTGCAAATAGGTGGAACAGAAGTGTTTTTCTATTCAATTATGAGGCTAGAATAAAGTAAAACCTGTGATACTGAGCAAGGAATGGAAATCGAAAGCTTAAGTATAGCCTCTCATAGGGAATCGACTGAATGGAATCTTCCCTTTGAATAATGAATCTAACTACGGCCATCGCTGCTGCTGCCGCTACCCGACCTGTTGCTCTCAATGGTGGAAGAAAACATGCACGATAACCTTGATGGTGTAGTTACTGTAGTAGATCGATTATTTTAGTATAGTATAGTATCTTCGGCATTGAAGAATAGGCTTGTCGCCGATTTTGATCTCAAACCTGTAGAAAATGGATTATGGGCTCACAAACCGGTAGCAGATGAATTATTTTGATTACAAGCTATATCAGATGGTTTATTTAGATTACAAACAAGTGCAAATGGATTATTGCAAACAAACAAGTAGCAAATTGATTATCTGTACTACAAACAAGCACCAGATGGATTAAGTATAGATCTAAATCCGTAGCCTATGAATTATTTGGATCCGTACTATAGCAGATGAAATATTTGTTTCACAAACCAGTGTAGATAGATAACAAGCAAACAGCAGGTGGATTATTTTTGACAAATAAGAAACGGGTCGAATATTTGGATAACAAATAAGAAGCAGATGGTCTATTAGGATAAAAACTATTGTCATTTGGATGATTGGCATCACAAATCAGTATAAAGATCAGCATAATTACAGACATCGATCTTCCGGCGTTGTCCGGGGCGACGATGTACTTCTGTTTGTTTTGTTCAGCCCTGCACTGTTTGGTATCGTTCAAATGTATTACAAGTATTAATGTCATCAGTTTGCTTAGATCGCTATAATGACCCAAGAATTTAAAAGCTAGGAAAACAGCAAACCACTTACCGCATTTGCTTTGAAACATTTTTTAATGAAGATAAGGTGAATTTGCTTGAATTTTTTCATGGCCTTCTTGTCTGAAAATATTCATTTGCTGGAATTGTGAAACTTGTTTGAAATATTTTAATTAGAACTTATGATATCCAGCTTCTGGACGAGCGATTTGAAATAGGAACGAAGTGAGCGTTGCCAACTTCCTGGCCTGCTGAGCTCATCACTATTTAGACGGCCAGCTGAGCTCATCACTATTTAGACGGCCTGCTGAGCTCATCACTATTTAGACGGCCAGCTGAGCTCATCACTATTTAGACGGCCTGCTGAGCTCATCACTATTTATTGCCCTCCCTTCCCTCAATACTCCAGCACCAACAGCAGTTCTGCTCATATTCAGTGCAGCTCTTATAGTCAGCAGTCAGTTATAGTCTGTTCATTAGTGTAATCCTGCTCATCGGTGATGCCGGACCCAACACAAAGTTCATCGTAGAAGCTAGTCGCCTATTTTAGGAATTAAAGAAGATTATCAGAAAGAACTCACACGCCTTTGCAATATAAACAAGCGCACTGAAGACGTGACCTTCGAAGAAAATCTGTGAGTAGCACAAGTGGACTCAGCAACGATCCGTTCATCGATTGTGTCCGCAGTCCGACTGAATGAACTTGGGTGATGGAAGACATTCGAACGCTTCTCAGAACTTCATAGTAATCATAGTCCAGCATTAGCGCGTCACGTATATTGCCTGTACTGCCCTGTCAATACCTGCACTGCATTGGCCTTATTTTTTGGATGAAATTTTTATTGAAAAGCTGATATCTTCAGGGACTCGTAGTACATTTAATGAACTTATCGAAACCACATAAGTTATTAATAATACCATGGATTGATAACTAGTATGAATGCAATCTTCTAATCTCCACGTCAAAATATTTTAACGTATTATTGTCATGTATCTTTACTGAGCCGTAAGAAATACACTGAGGGAGTTTGTGG